TCATTTTATTCGTATTTTTATGTTTTATGTCATATAAAATTGAATTCATTTAAATTATTAAATTGTTTATTTATCATTCATTTTATAAAACAAAAAAATTGTTTCTGCAAATCGAAGAAAAATTAATTTTTCGTCTTCTTTTTCATTTTATTCGTATTTTTATGTTTTATTTCATATCAAAATTTAATTTCATTTAAAATTATTACATTTAATTCATTTAAAATTATTTAAGATTATCTATTACACCATAATCAAATTTATTTTGCAGATATTTTACAAATAATAATAATAATAATAATAGAAAAGAATAAAACAAACAAAAAAGAACAAAAAAAAAATAATTTTAAATCCCACGCATTGAAATCACCACTCACGAATGAAAAGAATTTCAATTGATTTTAAATTCGTACATCCCTTAACACTTTAATGGCGGCACGTGTACGCAGTGAAACGTCATCAGAGGCCCGGTAATATTTTACAAGAATTAATTGTAAAATAAACTTTATTGTCATTAACGAAAAAATTAATATAAAACAAAAAACAACAATTTAACAAACAAATTTAATTTTAAATATATCAAAGTTATAAATAAAATAACGGCCAATATTCCGACTCATGTTGTGTTAGCGGCCATTAAAGTGTTAACGAGTTAAAACTTGCTTTTATAATCACTCATACACACAACACAACCACCCTAATAATACAAAAATACAGACGTACATAAAGTTATGTGATTAGATGCATTTTATGTATATGTACAAAGTAATATTATTTACTTATATCAGTTTTTACATGATGGATTATAAAAAATAACAAACGAATTTGTATAAAAAAAAAAAATACTTGTGTTTTATGCGACGTGTGTGTGTGTTTGTATGTATGTGTGTATGGGTGAGAATGAAGTAAGAAATAAAAGAAAGAAAAAAAAGAAAGAAAAAGATAAAAGAAATGTAGGGGTGTATTAATCGGCTCTGCACGTGTGTATGTATGTTGTATGTGTGTATGTATGTGTATGATACAAAAAATACTTATACGTTTAAAACGTGAATGAGTGTGTGACAAATCTCTTTGTACAAAATACCAACCAACTTTAATGATAATAATAATGATGATGATAATGATGATTATAACAATGATGATTATGATTATGATGATGATAATGATTATGATAATGAATAATAATAATGATGATTATAATGATAATAATAATGATGATGATGTTAGTTACTGATAAACGCAAGAAAAAACAAACTTTGATAAAAGAAAATGAAAACCACACACTCAAAAAGAGAAAGAAGAGAAAAATAAAATCCATTAATATATACATATATATATATGTATGTATGTATTGATGTAATATGTAAAGTACAATTTTGTGCAAAAACAAAAAAAACTGATGAATTATTTCTCTACTTTGTAAAACTCGCTAACATTTAAAAATAAAAAAACGCGGGAAAATAGGGTGTGGGATCTTTGAAATGGGGTGGAGGAAAGGGGTTGTGGTTTTTTGGACAAAACTTTAACGAAAAATCTTCAATAATAATAATAATAATAATAATAATTCAACGAATTGATAATATTTGTGCTCTGTTCCTGCTTAAAAAGAAAAAAAAAAAAAGAGAAAAAAAAAAAAAGAAGAAAAAAACTTTTTAATATGATTGAATGTTAAATAATAATTTTGTTTTTAATTGAATTCTTTCATTTTTAATTTGTATTTTTAATGTTTCCTTTTAAATTAGATCTAAATGATTTAAAATCAAACGTTTTGAATTTAGGTCTATCGACAAATAGACAATTTGTATATGTATAATAATTATTATAATTTAAATGAAAGAAAAAGAAACAACACAAGAAAAAATTGAAATGAAACAACAACAGCAACAATAAAAATCAACATTGTAAAACTTTGTATTTGTGTGATGATCCAAGTCACTTGATTATTCAAAAGAAGATAAGTATATATATATGATGAAGATGATGAGAAGATAAAAATAAAAAAAGAATTATGTATTAAAAAAAACAACAAGTATTAACAGAATCAACAATTACTACAACAACCAACTAACACACGTTTTACTATGATGAATAGCAAAAAAATATTT